TGGGGGGGGGAGGGAGATTTTCGTGCACACTTGGGGCAGTCCCCAGGTGTGCACAAAAATCTGAAAAGTGTAAAAAAATATCGGGGGGATATTTTAATCCCCTCAAAAGTAAAAGAGCGTCCCCTGCGCATGCGCAGGGAACGCTCTGCGAACTGCCTCACTTCAGTGCGGGGGGGGGAGGAGAGAGAGAGACCGGCGAAAGTCGCAGGCCTCACTTTGGAGGCAAAAGGGGGGGAGAGACTGCCGAGGCTGCTCGGAGCGGGGGGGGGGGGGGGGGGGGAGACTGCTGGAAACAGACGATCACCTACCTATGAAGGAGATGACCACGGCTATTTAGGGAAGCCGGTCCATCCCTCATCCAGAAGAGAGGATCAGGTTTAAGTAACTTGTTCACACTAGCTAATCATCAGGTCTCCTACGATTTTGGCAAGCATTTCTGATCAGCCACGAAAAGAAGAATATAGTGGGCCATTCAATACTCAGTACAGTAAGGCTAGAGAGGAATGGCACAAGAGACCACCCCCAACTGACTGACCGTCAGGCTTCCGTGCTGGAACGTCCCAGGAAGCCTCTCTGGGTCCCTTTCCTCATCGAGGTTTCCTTTCAGGTGAGCTGCAGTCACCTTTTCTGTCAGCCCCGCAGCTCCTGTTGAGGCCACATTTGTCAGCCAGGAAGGTCTTTTACGGACCTCCTCTGCAGCTGGGAGGTGGTCAACCCAGCCACGGCAGTGCCCCACCCCCTCTGGCCTAGCTGTGCTAACCAACCACACTGCGGAGTCACCAATCAGCCCCGCCCCCAGCATTCCGGCGAAGCCGTAACGCTCAGTGTGGAGGGTGCTTTACATGCAACAACTGCACAGGAGGCACTGGTTGGCTGGAAGACGTTTCAGTACATCTGCAGGCTACACAGCTTGGTGAGCATCGAGAGAAACGAGATCTGCGCTGCAAACGGCATTTTGAGAACAAAAATATTTATTTCTCAACCAAAGGGTTGGACCCTGCAAATCCATTCTGTTAGTGGCACAGCCTTCCCCAGCAGAACACGCCTCCCCTGCTGGAGGAAGACACCCTAAGCTGATGAAGGCTGCACACTAACAGAACTGTCTCAAAGGCTCTAAAGCACGTTTTATTTTAGTAGAGAAGGGATGAATAAGGCATTTCCAAATAACAGTCATTTAAATGCTGTGCAATTTTGACTTAACTTGCCGATACCCGCCAGTGTGCATGAGCGAGAGAGACCCCTTGATAGATTTAAAAGTGTTATTTCTGTTTACAGGAGTTTGCTCTGTTACACGCAAGCAACCAGGCAGCCACAGCCAAGCTCTGGACTCAGCCATGGGCCACCTGGAAGTCTGCCTGAAAACTGAGTCACAGAAGTAAAGATCTGAAAAAGGCACCGATCCCATGCTTGGGAAGATGTTGAAAACACTGACCACTTGAAAGAACCGCCCGGAAATGAATAATGCAATGCTCGGCAACAGCATTCTGAGTGACTCAAGTGCACATACACACACGCTCACAAAGCTGCCATACTGAGTCAAGCCACTGGCCCATCCATCTCTGGACCTTCAACTCTGACTGGCAGGAGCTCCCCAGGGTCTCAGGGAGAGTCGGACCTACTGCCCGGTCCTTTCGACTGGCAATGCCAGGGACTGAACCTGGGAAGAGCACCACACCAAGCAGATGCTCTGCCACTGGGCCATGGCATCACCGCCCGGTGCCATTTCTTGGTGCTCATTTGAACCGGACACTTGAATGATTGAGGCCCACATCCCGCTGAAGGAAACGGCAACAGTTCTAGCGATGGTTACAGCTGGACTTCATACACACACACACCCCTTTCGACAAACAACCAATTACAGCATGACAAGTCCAATACAGGACCCATGGAAGAGGAGAAAACAGAAAGTGTAAGTTGTTCATCCAGAGGAGCAGCGTGCAGTACCTAACAGCAAAAGCGGCAGGGATTAACCACATACTTTGATCATGGATTTCAATCCCCCCCACACACATACACACGTATCTCCTACCTTTAGACATTAAGAAATCATACCTCTCTTTGCTTGGCTCTTGTTTTCTCACCTCCTCTCTTGTGACTTCAATCTGTAACAAAACATCCGCGCTTTAAAGCAGTTCATGAGAAATAGAATTAAAAATGCTCCTGATGCAAATATAAGGCTATAAAAAAGGGGACACACAAGATAGTATCATAGAATCATAGACTTGGAAGGGACCTCCAGGGTCATCTAGTTCAACCCCCTGCACAATGCAGGAAATTCACAAATACCTCCCCCACACACACACCCAGTGACCCCTGTTCCTACAGGGGAAGGTGATTTCATCCACCCCACCCCCAATTTCCCCCTTCCAACCCTCCATGGCCTTCTTCCCCAACCCTCTTGCCACCAGACCCCCAATGAGCTGGTGTCTAGCAAGTACTGACTGCAGAAACAGCACCTTCCACACTTCCTGCGGCCGATCTCTTGCCTTCTACCCAGGGTGTGGAGAGGAAAGCCTGGCTCAACCCCCCCCCCCCATCAGCAGGCTACACCAATAGACTTAAGAATGCAATTTCATGACAAAAAGGTTGCCTTTTCACCCTGCTTCAACTCTCCCTCCCCTATGAAGCCCATATGATGGGGGGAGGGTGGATGGCTCCACACCAGCACCCCCACCTCCACCCCTAACCCCTGCTTGGCCTCTTTCCCCTGCAACCCTCTGGACACTGGCTCATCCTAACCACTGGGTGACCACGGGCCAGTCACTCCCTCTCAGCCTGACCTACCTCACAGGGTGGTGGTTGTGAGAATAAATGTAGGATTAAAAAAAAACATAAGCCACTTTGGGGCCCTCTGCTGCGGGAGAGAGAAGGGTACAAATAATGCTGACTTTTTGAACCCAAATTCTTTGTGCAAGGCAACAGAATGGGGAAGAGGAGGAAAAATAAAAGAACCGGTGGGCACTCAATGGAATTAATGAGAAGTAAGCTTAGAACACAAATTTATTATTTATTTATTTATTTATTATATTTATATCCCGCCCATCCCGCGAACGGGCTCAGGGCGGCTGAGTAATTAACATGTGGAATTCACTGCCCCAGGAAGTGGCGGCAACTACAAGCATAGGTAGCTTCAAGAGGGGATTTGGAGAAACATATGGAGTAGAAGGCTATTAGCTACAAGGTGTAGATGGAACACTCTGTCTGGGGCAGTGATGCTCTGTATTCTTAGTGCTTGGGGGGCGACAGTGGGAGGGCTTCTGGAGTTCTGGTTGGACCTCCTGGTGGCACCTGGGTTTTGGCCATTGTGTCATGCAGAGCGTTGGACTGGTTGCACTATTGGTTTCATCCAAGATGGCTTATCTTATGTTTTTACAAAGAGGACAGGGTAGCACAAGGCAACCCTTTTGTCATGAAATCAGTCCTGGAAATATCCCTGAACACGGACTCCATACTTGACAGAATTCCAATCCCTATAGTCAGTTCTTGTCAGTGAGCCCAGACCCAGCTGCAAACCCCTAAGTCCTTCTTCACTCAAAGAGTCACCAGCTAAGGCAGGTCTCCCTTCCCACCCCTTCTGACTGGAATATTAAGACTCAGATCTCCATTCTGACTTGTACCCGACAAAGGAAGCACTGACTCTCAAAAGCTTATAACCAATCCTCCCTCTAAGCTGTGGGGTCTTGTGAGCAAAAATCCTACTTTATGACCAGTGGCATTAAAGTTATGAGTTAGCGACTTGGCTACTGCATCAATTAGTTTGCTCTGGAGTCATCCTTCCTGAGCTAAGGCAAAAATGTGTGAGCCGGAGGCTAAAAAACTGTGAGCTAGCTCACACTAACTCAGCTTAGAGGGAACACTGCTTATAACCCAATAATCTTGTTGGTCTCTTCTAAAGAGCTACGTACTGGACTCAAGCCCAGCTGTTCTGCTACAGACCAACATGCCTACCCTCTGGAACTGTACACACTACAGGTCTAAGAATTAGGAGATGGGGGCTGGCTCATTCCCTGTTTCTGAGCCAATCTTCTGAACGTGGAGCAGGGCCCCCGGGGGGGGGGGGGGGGGGGGGGGGTTAGAAGGACGAGCTCCTAACAGCAGTGACACAGACAAAGGTTTCCACTGTATTTGGTCCCGAGAGCCCAGGCTCAGCCACCTCAAAGGAGTTTCACTAACTACAAAGAGGGAAAAGTTATTTATTTATTTATTTTATTAGATTTTTACCCCGCCCTCCCAGCAACGCCGTTAGCTGCTGTAGATTTTCCGGGCTGTGTGGCCGTGGTCTTGGCATTGTAGGACCTGACGTTTCGCCAGCAGCTGTGAGTGACTGGCATCCTCAGAGGTATAGCACAGAAAGACGGGAGTCTTTCTCTCAGTGTCAAATGTGAGAAGAAAAATGGAAGGCAGGTCATTTATCTCTATTCAGGAAGGTGGGGGTAGGGCTGAGTCATTATCTTGTAGGAGTTCCCCAGGCTGTGAACATGCTAATGGAGGAGCTTTCCTGAGTTATTCTGCGTTATATCTCTAAGCTGCTGGCGAAACGTCAGGTCCTACGATGCCAAGACCACGGCCAGACAACCCGGAAAATCTACAACAGCTAATGAACTCCGGCCGTGAAAGCCTTCGACAACATATAGAAAAAAGTTACTCACCCTGTGGGAAGGAGGGCCCCCCCACACACTTGTATCCTTTATTGGTGCACCCACAGGCAATGTCTTGTTTTTGCCTTCCGCAGCCAGTCCTCCTTTGTTTGGCGCACCACCAGCCTCAGGCGGCTTTGCCTTCGCATCCGATGGGCCATTATGAGAAAGTGAATCCCTCTTGGAAGTCTCCTGAGGAACGGCAGGACTGCTCGTTTTCTTCTTCCCACTTCGAAGGGTCCTCCCCGACCTTCTTCCCAAGGTCCTTCGGCCGGCTTCCTGTTGTGATTTCTGCTTCTTGACAACCCGGGGCCCCAAACATTTCACTTCAGCTTCCAAAGCCTTGTCTGGTAGATGAAATGGGGAGAGGGGGAGAGGATGGCATCAACTAATTTTGTCCCAAGAATACAGTTCCCTGCTCTATTTATTTATTTATTTATTATTCGCAATTTTTATCCCGCCCTCCCCGGAGGCTCAGGGCGGCTAACAAGGCATGTCGCCACATAAAATAGAAAACAGTACAAAATTTCTTAAAATACATCAACATTAAAACAATCATAGTGCTCCTCTCAACTAAATTCCAATTTACAGTTTCTAAAAAGATGGCCGCCCCCTAGACGTCCCGTTCTCACCCATAATGCAACAATTTCGGGCCTTGATGATACATGCTCTGGGATGAAACAGCCACCAGGGTATACAGAGAAAGGGCTTAAATAGCAAGTTATGCACTATACAAAGCTACTGCAAAGGAGAATTACAGTGGAAATTCAACTTTCCTGTACCTATCTTCAATCAAGGAGCAAACAATTGCACAAAAAGTGTTTTTTAAAAAAAATCAGATGAGTGTCACACAAATTAATCCCCTCCCTACTCTTCTAGCATTTGTCATACAATGTGCATCTGTTGCTAAGCCTTCTGTGCCATCCACATTCTTACCAGAAAATCTAGTGGATCTTCCAGATCCTCCTTCCTTGCTGGAAGATCCCATAAGAACATAAGAGATGCCAATGTTGGATCAGGCCAAAGGCCCATCCAGCCCAACACTCTGTATCACACAGTGGCCAGAAATACCAGTGCCATCTGGAGGTCCACCAGTGGGGCCAGGACATTAGAAGCCCTCCCACTGTTGCCCCCCCCCCACCCAATCACCAAGAAGATAGAGCATCACTTGCCCCAGAGCCCCTATCTATACCTTTTGGCTAATAGCCACTGACGGATTTCTGCTCCATATGCTTATCTAATTCCCTTTTGAAGCCGCCCATGCTTGTAGCCGTCACCACTTCCTGTGGCAGTGAATTCCAAGTGTTAATCACTCTTTGGGTGAAGAAGGACTTCCTTTTATCCGTTCTAACCCGACTGCTCAGCAATTTCATAGAGTGCCCACAAGGAGTTCTTGTATTGTGAGAAAGGGAGAAAAGTACCTCTTTCTCTACCTGCTCTTTCCCATGCATAATCTTATAAACCTCAATCATGTCACCATAGGCTGTGCACCAAAATTCAGAAGTCTCCATGGAGACCTTGACCCTGTGTGTGGGACTAGGAGCAGGGGTATCAAACTCATTTGTTATGATGGCTGAATCTGATATAAATGGGACCTTTAATGCCAGATAGCAGAGATATAAACTTTATAAAGGACACAAACACAATTAAATGTATTTTCCCCTAAAATACAAGCATTCTTAAGACATTAATACTCTTGCAATATTTCATTGCTGATGACCCCCATGCTGCCTGGAGTGGGGAGTCTGCAAAACTAAACTGGAGTGTTTGCCTACAAAACGACAATCATTCGTTGCTGTAGATTTTCTGGGATGTGTGGCCGTGCCAAGACCCCGGCCACACATCCCAGAAAATCTACAGCAACGAATGAAGTCCGGCCGTGAAAGCCTTCGGCAACATATAAAACTATAATCTTCCCCAGAAAAATAACCAAGCGGGTTGTGTACCTTTTACAATGTTCTTCTCGGTTACATAATTTGGGTATGTCAACTCCGTCTTTAAGAACACATATCATAGAGCACAAGCCCCACATTAAACATAAACATACAGATGTGCAACTGGTCCAGCATTTCTTGGACAAGGGACATAATTGTGAGGACTTTAGATTCTTGGTATTAATAGAATAGATGTCCAAAACAGATTATTGCGACAAGAAGCTTTTTGGCTACATAGGCTAAAAACGCATCATCCTCATGGTCTTAATCTTTCAGTGGAGCTCTTTTGCATCTGATAAGACACCGATTCTCATAACTACTCTTATACAGCTTGCCTATATGAGGCCCCGGTCACACGGGCAGGAAAATGCGCGTGGGGGGGGGGGAGCGTGGCTGTTTGCCCCGGATCAAAATAACGCGCAATTGCGCGATCAGACGTCCCGTAGAGGTCCCGCTCAGGTTCTGTGGTTAGGGGGGAGGTGCCAATCACAGGACAATCCTGCGGCGTGGCAAAGAAGCGGCCTTTCTAGCAAAAGGCTTCGCGGGTTTAACCCCTTCCAGGGCTGCAGAGGAATGCAAACTGTGTCCTCCGTCCGGTCCCCTCCAGGAGGAGCTTCAGCCGGGCCGCCCTCCCACCATGTCCCCCCTGCACCTCCCCCTCTGACGCCCGGTGCAGAGAGTTCCTCTCGAGCAGGCCAAGCCGGGAGGGGGGGGGCGGAAAAGAGGAGGGGGCTGTGTTGTTTGTTTTTAAACGAAGTGTGCACATGCGCCGTTGGGTGCTTGTGCGCATCCCATGGAGACATGAAAAAACCCAACCTTTTAGCGACGGGACATGGGTGGGCACTGGATGCCACGACCTACCACCGGAAACGCGATCAGGCGCCCGCCCTTGCCCCGCGGTTTCCGGAAACTAGTACCTCGGAGGTACTAGTTTTTTACCTCACATCTTCGGTGGGAAGCCTCGGGTTCACCACGGGAGCTCTACGCTTCCCAGATGTGGCGCTGTGATCGCACCCGGAAAATCCGCCTATCTTTTATTTATTTATTTTTTAATTTATACCCCACCCTCCCTGAAGGCTCAGGGCGGCTCACAAGGGGCACAAATGCCCAAGTTAAAACATTAAAACAGTACAGAATAATATAAAATACAACAATACAGTTCACTAAAATTTACTTTACGGTGCTCCAAAATTATTTAGCTATAAAAGTTCAAGATGGGATTCTAAAATTATTATTATCTTCCGTCTCTGTAGTGTGGCTAATGCTCCGTGTGACCGCAGCCATAGTTGTTTTGTTGATACCTTTAGTTTAGTGCTTTCAGGATATTTCCAGTTATGTGCCTTTAAGATGCTAATCAATTTAGATACTATAAAGATCTTCACTGAACATGGCCCGTGGAGGCTGCATTTTGAATTCTTTATGGTGAACAAGGTGCCCCATCTATAGATTCTCGAGATGCCTTGCGAAACCTAATGATTTTTCTTGTTTGAAGAATAATGGTGTCAGTTTACCTATATGTGCTTTTAGTCCCACATGATTGATACATATGGAATGTTAGTGGCTACTGTTTTCTCATTACAGATTTGTTAACTGTATCCAGACTTCCCTATGAAGTTCAAAGAAAAAATTGTTATTGCAGGTAATTATATATTTAGAATGATTTAATAATAAAACATAAAAATTATAAAAATTGCAAAATCAAAAAAATATATATTAAAATTTCCTAACATTGTTAAAATATCGTACAAATGTAACCACTTCTGTTTAATTTAATTTAATGTAGTTTTGTATTGGTCCTTCTCGGAACAAGATTTATGAAACGAACATACTATCCAGAAACTTCATTAGATGACTCCATCTGACTCTGGACTTCAACTGTAAATGATTTTGTACACGTTAACAGATCATTACTGATTTTTTGTATTAACATGGTTAGCAGAAAAAAAACAGGTTGCTTACCTGTAACTGATGATCTTCGAGTGGTCATCTGTGCATTCACACCTCTGGGTATAGTGCGCCTGCGCCGACTTCGATCGGTTCCTCTTGAAAAACGAAATGGATTTTCGTGCCCGCTCCCCAGTCACATGCCAGCCCCACTGCGCATGACCAAGGGAGGGGCACGACAATCCCGCCAGTTCCTTCTAACTGCTGCCATCAGTCTCAGAGTAAGAAAAAGGAGAGGACTGAAAGCAGAGGGGAAGTAGGGCAGGTGGTGTGAATGCAAACATGACCACTCGAAGATCATCAGTTACAGGTAAGCAACCTGTTTATCTTCTTCGTGGTCTCTGTGCATCACACCTCTGGGAGAATAGCAAGCAATAAACAGGCCTACCTGGAGGTGGGAGCTGAAGGTCCTAGACTTGCGCTGCCTGCAACACTGCCCGTCCCACCACGGAACGTTGAGGAAGACGCACATAATGCTGCACAAACGTGTGAGGGGTAGCTCAGGTTGCTGCTTGACAGATATCAGTGAGCGACGAACCTCTCAGGAAGGCTGTGGACGTGGCTACTGCCCGGTTAGAATGTGCTCAGAGCGGGCCCGGAAGTGGCCTTTTGGCCAGTAAGTTGCAGTTTGATGGTTTCCACAATCCACTTGGATAGATGCTGTGAAGAGAGCTTCTTCCCCTGCACAGGTGTGTTATAGGAGACAAACAAGGCCGGTGATTGACGGAATTACCTTGTTCTATCAAGGTAGAAGAGTATGGCTCTCTTGACGTCTAAAGTATGAAGACGGCGTTCCTCGTCGCTCGTAGGGGACGGGGAAAAAATCGGGAGGGCAATGTCAGCTTGCAAATCGAACTCGGAAACAACCTTGGGCAGGAAAGAGACATCCAGGGCCAAGGTGACACCATCATGGTGGAAAACCAAGTACGGAGAATCGCAACAGAGTGCAGACAATTTGCTCACTCATCTTGCTGAGGTAATGACTACTAGGAAGGCAGTCTTCCACGAGAGAAGCTGCAGACTAGACTTTGCCGGTCCTACAAAAGACACATTATGCAGATAACATTCGTGGACGGACTACTCCTGTCATTCTTAAAGCATCCATACAAGAAGGCTGTCCCCCTTTTTTGAAGACTTCATGCAAGGAGAAGCGGGCTTATAATTCTAGAAACTCCCATTGGGGCTTGACTTTACTAAATGATGACCATAAATAGAACACATTAGTTTGCTAAAAGGTTTTTGCAGTGCATATTTATTTGTTACTAGACTGCCCTGGTACAGAACACTTCAAGTTCTGACGTGTCACAAACGCATCTATTTCTGTAGAAGGTCAGTAGTTCAGCAGTTCAAGATCCGGGTGCCGCAAGACGGCGTGAGCTCCTGTCTCTAGTTCCAGCTCCTGCCAACCTAGCAGTTCGAAAGCAAGAAATTGCAAGTAGATAAATAGGGACCACTTTGGTGGGAAGGTA